TGGATGTTCATGGCCTCTTTTCAACCTCTGGTGTGTGTTACGTGGTTAGCGTCTCTTGTGTCTTAGTTGGAGCGAGTTCATGCTAGCTCGAAGCATGGTTAGTTGGGTAAGAGATAAGGATTATGTGAATTATTGATTCCCGTTTATGTGATATGATGAGATAAGTGTATTAGGTTGAGAGTCTCAGTTATATCATGATAGGTTTGGTCGGGTTCATTTGATATATATGTGATCTTCGATGATTGAGGTTGAATTTATGTATTAATGTGAATTGTTATATATTATCAAACCAAAAGATGTAATAATTTAAGTGAAAGGCATACGACTTTATTTTCTATCTTGTTTAATAAGACCGAGTTGGACCTCGGACAACGTGTTTGATGATATTGATGTGTAAATCTTAAAGTATTGATATCGAGGCTTGCTTAACGTGTAATTTACGTGATTCCGAAACCATCTTGTGGTACAAATTTTAAGTTGTCAAAGGCATGAAAACTCAATTTTTCGAGCTTTATTTAGGCTCTGTTTTTGTCGAACAAGATGATGTTTCTTGGACAAGTGTTCTTCATGAGATTTGTAGTGCTATGAATGAAGTTTTTGTGAGTTTTTGAATTTTGTGATTTGGGGTTAAAATGAATTTGTTATGATTTTTCAAAGTTCGTCGAGCATGCTGTTTTGATAAACTCGGGCAGAAGGATTTGATTTTAGTTCATGGCTATTTATGATGATCTTAACATGCCTGAATGGAAATGTGTTCTTCATGAAAAATGTATTATATGATATAAGCTGCCCGTAGGAATTGGAATTATATAATTTTGAATTTTGGTTGATTTTATATGATTTTTCTAAGTTGGTGTTATGCCCAAAATTTTGAAACAGTGGCTGTGTGTATGCATGAAATGTATGCTCTGAATTGATGCCTTTAACGTGATGATATGTAAACATTCTCTTCATGAAATTTGTAGCTTTCCTTGTGTAGTGTCTGCAGGTTTTTGGTTGATATGATTTGGAGTTCCAGTTGATTTTATATAATTTTTCGAAGTGGAATGTACATCCAATTTTTATGAAACCGGAATTTTGTTTAAGTGTTGAATGTGTACTCGGTTTAGGTGACCTATACGTGTTCTTATGAAACATTCTTCTTCATGAAATTTATATATTTCCATGTGTAGATTATATTGGTTTTGAGTTTGTATGAATTGGAGTTGTTTAGCTTGAGTTGTTTCAATTTTACTAAGGTGCTGTATTTTCGAAAAATTGTTCTCTGGCTGTTTTTGCAAACTAAATGTTTTATATTAAAACTTGTTGATAATGTTATAATTTGCCGAGAAGAAGAAACAACCCGTGGGCGGAACGCCCTCGCGTTCCCGACTCCTTTTGAAGACGAATATGCTCCTGAACTCGTCAATTGTCCGGAATGGCCACTTCTTCTGCCCAGAAGAACCATAATCTCGATGATCTTCTTCCAACTGTTAGGAGTGACTTGGCTGAAGCCAATACCCCAATCGCGCAGATAGTCAATGATCACGTTATCGATTGGAAATCTCAAACCCGACCTCAAGCTTTCGGCAAATATCCCCACGCAATCGGGAGGGGGACAATGAATCATTTCTCCCAGATAAGGGGCAGAGATTCTAATCGAGGTGGGGATCCAGATTGACTCGCGCAACAGGACCACATCGGCATCAGTCATTGTGCTGAGCTCACCTAAAAAAGGGATGTCGGCGTCGGGCCAACGCCGAGCTGGACGACTCCAATATCCCATCTTGATGGGAATATCTCGCTCTACCTCGGCGTCCCCTTCGAAATTATTCTTTCGAATCTCCAAACGTTCGACAAAAACAGGGTCCCACCGGTAATACTCCCCCATTAATTCGTCATCCAACTCCTCGTCTGATATTGTCCTGCTGCTGCTCGGCTCTTCTTGTTCACCGCTCGCCGCCGCCATTATCACGGCCAGAAGAAAACAAAGTAGAAATTAAGGAAAGTGAAGGATGGAGTTAGGGCTTACCGAAAATTTGGGTGAACTCTCGGAGAGAAAATCGTGAACTGTCAAACGGAACGATGAAAATAAATAGAAGACACAAATGGGAAGGCAAATAGAAGATTTGAGAAATCGAAAGGTAAACGATGTGCTTAGATGAAGACTTCGCCTAGTGAAACTGCGTCTGTATATATATGTGACATTTTTCGACCGTTGGGGATGGAGAGGCACGTGTAACCGTCGCGTCCTTTGGGAGAAACGCCTTAAGTCCCGTCATAAAGGCTTGCGGCTAGATCTCGGACGTACACGTGTCCCGAAACCATCAGAACGAGCAACCGTTATCCTTAATATGTGTCCATTGGGAAGCGTAGTGGAAAGGACACGTTCCTTGTATCTGAAAACTGCTTTGTAACCGTCTCACAACCTCTCACATACTATCCAATTGAAAATACGCTTGATTTTCGACTAAGGAAATCATCTCGGGATGTCTGTAAAGATATGAAAAAGACTTCGAAAATAAAGGTCGGCTGGAAAAAAATTTTCATTAAAGAGCGCCCTCATCCGCGTACTCCCTAATGCCAGGGGCCTCTATGTTGACACCGAATTCAAATTCTGCAAATTAAAGGCACCTCGGGAAGGTTAATGAAGACTAATATAGCTAAACGTTGAAGTGCACATCGTGGGGAGCTGTTCCCAGGGCCATCTCGGTATTGGGTCGACAGCTCGGTATAAATAGCTCGCCAAACGGTCATGGAGAATTGAGATCTCGCGAAGAAACCGAAGTCACAAAGATCCGACTTCAGTCCGACAAAAGGCGACGTCTGTCAATCAACTGATGGGCTGTCCATACCCTCATCATTGCCTACATGCCAGGTTACGTCATAGCCGCCCCTATGCTGTCAATCCGCATTAAATGCAGCCGCATCTCCTCAAAAGGCGTGCGGAATGTTACTATAAATAGAAGCATTTAACTCAATACGAGGATTCGGTTCTCGACACATTAAATTCTAGTATTCAATCCACTAGACCGACCTCGTATACTGCAAAACCGACTTCTTCAATACTGTTACCGACTTCAAAAGAACTTAATAAAAATTCTACTTTCTGCTATATTTGTTATTTTTTACACCTTATTTATGTTGTTAAATTCCGTTTATCAACAACTTAATAATAAATAAATAATTAAATTAGAATAATATAAAATATTTTGTAATCACAAATAAATTATTAAAAAAAATATAAGATAATAAAATAATATAAAAATATTTTAAAATAATAAATAAAATATATAGTAAAAATAATAAATAAAAAGCTATTGTAATTATTTAGATTAATTTGATGTATATTGCACACATAACTTATCTATGAAAGTATAAATTAGCTAGTGCACTTTATATAGGGGAATGTCGCACTTTATGAAATAACATGTTGCAATTTATAAAATAATACTTACACTCCATCACATCATATATCTACAAAAAACACAAACATACCAGAATTAATATGTCGCACTTTATACAGTAATACGTTACATCTTATAACACAACATGTTGCACCGTATAAAACGACACACTGCACGTACTAAAAATTCAATAGTTTTGCTAATCAATCGAATAATATTAGTTGTTTATGTCAGGTTTAGTCTTTTGAAATAGATAAAATAACTGAACATGCCTAATTATATGAAAAGATATTAACAATTTTTTTATTTATATTTTTTATGAAAAATAATACTGTTTTTCATCTATGTTTTTTGTATGTATTGAGAGTGCATATTACAGTTATACGAAATGCACATAAATGTCTACCAGATTGCACAAAATCGAATGAAACCCAACGTACATAGATTCAGTACGAAATTTTATATTTTTTTTCAATTATTAGTATTATTATTATTATTTTATATATCAATTATTTCGGTACGATGTCATTTTTTTATTTAAATAACCAAAATAAACACTAAACTATAATATTAATTTTTATATTTTGTATAAAAGTATTAAGCTATGATTTTCTATTGAAATATAAAAAATTAATATAATGCATTTTATGTATTATTGTGTATGTATTAAACTTTTATTAAACTATCAATTTGTCTAATGTACTTAATTGAAATCGAACAAGATGCAACGAACATAAATTTTAGCATTTCGGTCAATTGGTTCGACCAAACCAACCTATCAATTTGTATTATTTGTTTTTTTTTTTTGTTTTTTTAATGTGCACATACACACTCAATATTGTGTATCTTTTTTATCATTATTCATTATTGTGCATTTTGATATATTTTTTATAATTTACACATTTGAGATGTGAACCAAATTGCAATAAACCAACTTATTAAATCAGAAATGGCCTTACCCTTCCCAACGTAATACTGTATAAGGAAGGTGGGAGATATATATATCAAATGAAAAGGTGATGGGGTGGCAAATCCCCTACAAAGCCTAGTCGACTCAAGAGAAAAACTGGGACCTCCAACAAAAGGGGCCCTAACAAGAAAGAAGAAGGAAAAGAATTCGAGGGTGAAGGTGAAGTTAGGCCAGCTAAGGAGGGAGATGGAATCTCTCGCTGGCTAATATTATGGGCGTCAGCCCTGTGGTCTGATGTCGTCATGTGGATGTCTGATGCTGGGGTACTCTAAATCCATCCTGATGATGCCCCTAAGGGGTCCAGGTAAGTCTGCGACGTCATATAGCACAAAGTCTCGGGCTCGACAGGCGGAACCTGCGAGGTAGTCGGCGGCACTATTACCCTCACGGTAGATGTGGGTGAAGCTGACGTCAAGGGTATCTGATAGAGCTCTGATCTTCTAAATGAGGTCTCTTTCCCGCCAGCCGTCGCCGGGGTCGTCGTAAGGAGTGATATTACAAACCTCAGAGTCAAGCTCAATCCAAACCTGGTCATAAGTCAAGTCTCGACATAGTGATAATGCTCTCCAAACAGCATGGAGCTCTACAATGGTGCTGGTCTGAACTCCAATGTAGTCGTGGAACGCAAAAATAGGTTTGCCTCTATGATCTCTGGCAAGGCCACCTGCTCCTGCCTCTCCAGGGTTACCCTTCGAGGCTCCGTCTGTATTGATCTTCAACGTGCCGACAGGGGTGGTGGTCCATCTGATAATCTGCATACGAGGGCGATTCTGGCGACGATGGGGAAGGAAGGGGAGAGAAGGTGGCTCAATAGAGGGGCTGGAGAACAGGAGGACTCCTCTAGGGTGGGGAAGACGATAATAGAGTCAATCATGTGGGAAGGGAGAAGGGTCTGAAGGAGAGGGATGTTCCACCTTGTTCCGTTCCAAACCTCACGGAGAAGGAGATTAGAGCGGGTATGGGTGGCTAGAGAGGATAGGGGACTATATTGGCACCATTGATCATGCCAAAAAGAAATATTGCCATCACCGGTGAGCCAGTGAATCCACGGGTCGACCGTAGTACGGATGCTACAGAGCCGCTTCCAGGTGGGAGAGTCTGCAGGGTTAGGTTTAACCACCATGGGGTGGAGTCTGGGGCAATATATGGACCGAATGAGGTTGGTCCAGATGTTAGAGGTAGAGCGAAGCCGCCACCAATGTTTGACCTCAGTGGTGTGGACGAGATCCTGGAGGTTACGACAACCAAAACCTCCTTCTTTCGTGGGAAAGCAAAGGTGATGCCAAGCTGCCCAGTGAAGTTTTCTATGATCATCGTTGGAGCCCCAGAGGAAGCGATTGAAACACCTCTCAATAGAAAGGATGACGTTCTGGGGGGGGGAGGGGTGGGGGGTTAAGAACCTGAAGGCAATAGAAGGGGATGAAGATGAGGGTGGATTTTATTAGCTCTAGTCGACCACCAATAGAGAGGATGTGGTGGTTCCATGAGCTAATGTGAGAAGAGATTTTATAGAGAAGGTCATTATAAAGGTCTCGGTTTTGGTTACCCTTCCAAAGAGGGGCTCCCAAGTATTGGAGGGGGAGGTTGGCTTGAGTGAAACCAGTTAAGCGGTGGACACGCTCAATAAGATGGGAGGAGGGATTTTGAAGAATTAAACGACTTTTATGAGAATTGACTTTTTGGCCCGAGACATTTTCGAACCGTTCGAGAGTCTGAGAAAGGAGGTGAAGGTTGCGGTGAGATGCTTGGGAGAAGATGAGGATATCATCGGCATAGATGAGATGAGAAATATGGGCCTTTTTGCGTTGAGCAAAATACATGTTGGGATTGGAGTTAAAAGTTTGGTTGGGGCTTTTGGACAGGTAGTCAGTAGCCAGAACGAATAGGAGGGGGGATAGGGGGTCTCCCTGGCGAATACCTCTATGAGAGCGGAAGAAGCCTATCGGGGTGCCATTAATGAGGATAGAGAACCTACAGTCGGATATGCAATTTTTAATAAGGTGAACGAAGTTAGGGGAAAAGCCGAAGAGGGAAAGAGTCTGGTAAAGAAAAATCCAATTCAGCCGATCAAAGGCTTTCTCCAAATCAATTTTTGATCATGAGGTTAGAAGGGGATACGGGGAAGTCGTGAGCGGCCTCTCGAGCGGAAAAGATATTATCGATAATGAGTCTACCTTTAATAAAGGCAGATTGTTCCAGACAAATCAAAGAGGGGAGGAGGTGACTGAGTCTAAGGCTGAGCATTTTGGAAAGGATCTTATAAGAGGTGTTGTAGAGGCTGATAGGGCGAAAATCTTTCCAAGAATAAGGCGACGGAGTTTTAGGGATAAGGGATATGGTAGTGGCGGTGTACGCTAAAGGGAGGGGGGTGCCTCGAAACAAGTCAGTGGCTGCTTCCAAGACGTCATCTGCGATGATGTCCCAGCAAGTCTTATAGAAAGTGGAATTAAACCCATCCGGGCCGGCAACACTGTTGCCATGCATGTCAAAGACAGCCGACTTGAGTTCGTCGATAGAAGGGGGGAACAGAGGGTAGTGTTATCTACATCCGAGACAATCGGAGGGATGATCCCTTGGCCATGATCATCAAGAATGGGCGTGGAGTCAGAGAAGAGATTGGAAAAGAAGTCAACGGCAGATTTTTGAATAAGGGAAGGGTCCGAGATCGAAGAGCCTCGGTCCGTGATGCTATGAATGGTGGATTTGTGGCGATGCTTTTTGACCAAGGCATGGAAGAATTTGGTGTTACGTTCATCTTCCAAGTTCCACTTGAGGTTAGTTTTCTATTTCCAGAAATCTTCCTCCATGGAAAGGGTGAGGTTTAAGATAGCGTTGAGGCGCTTAAGGTTAGTAAGGTTGGTAGGAGAGGGGTCAAGATCGAAAAGCTTCTCCGCTTCGGAGGCTTCAGACTGGGCATGGGCAACGCGAGCAAAGATGTTCCCAAAGGTGTTCCTGTTCCAAGTTTTAAGCGTACGCTTAAGCCTGGCGAGCTTATGAAGAAGCTTGTTGAGGCCAGAAGAAGGGGCTGGGATGGACCAAGAGTTTGACTACCTGAAGAAAAAGGTGGTGCCGAGTCCACATATTCTGGAAACGGAAGGATGGTTTAGGTTTGGCAGAAAGCGGGCTAAATTTACAAAGCAAAGCGTTATGGTCTGACTGGTGACGAGCGAGGTGCGAAACGGAGGAGGAAGGGAAGGAGGAGAACCACGAAGAAGAAAAAAGGATCCGGTCAAGTCTCTGCCAGTTGTTGTTCCTGTACCATGTGTAGGGGGATCCCGAATAGCCACCGTCCGAGAGATCGCAATCGAGGAGGGCATCCTGGAAATCCTCCAATTCGGATTGAATTGGTGGGGCTCCACCTTTCTTTTCATGGGGGTGAAGGATGATGTTGAAATCGCCTCCGACCATCCAAGGGAGGGAATGGTCAGAAACTTCGAGGAGGTCTGCCCAAAGGTCTTGGCGGGGGAGACGAGTGTGTTCTCCATAGACGATGGAAAGCATGAAGGGAGTGGGGGAAAGAGGAGAAGAAACTTTCACGTGGAGGAGTTGACGGGAGGAGTGAAGAATTTGAATTTGGCAATTATGGTCACAGAAGAGCCAAATGTGATTGCTGGTATTTTGGACAACTTGATGGAGATTGAATAATCTACAGAAGTATTGGGAGTCTAGGGCAATCTTCGGCTCGATGAGGGCAAGGAGATTAGGTTTGTGATCCTTAATGAGAGTTTTGGTCATCTTTTTTGCGAGGCTATTACCTATGCCTCGTATGTTCCAAATGAGAGTACAAATCATTTTTTGTTTATGTGACGTGCGCTTCGCCGCACTCTATTTTTCTTCGCTAGGGAGTTGTAGAGGGAAGAGGACTGGTTGAGAGAGGTAGATGGGAGGGCAATGATAGAATCCGGGAAAGAGAGAGAAGGAGGTGGTTCCGAGGCTTTGGGAAGAGGGCGTGAGGTTCCCTCATCAGAGGTTCCCTTGCCGACTTCTAAGCCTTCTAAGGTCAGAGCATGAAAAGAGTTGGAGAGGGGGGAGAGAAATCGTCCTCATAATCGGAGGAACATGTCTCCACTAATACCTGATCGGGCTTAGGTGAGCTAGGCTCATTGCCTGGTCCCGAATCGGGGTGGGAGATGGATTTTCCTTTGGAGGGGGAGAGGTTGATCGGAGGGGCGGTGGGAGAGAGATTAGCCCCCGAACTAGATGGTTGAAGGGAGGAAATTGGAGGGGTAGGATTGAGGGAAGATGAAGCAAGGGTCGGAGGGGGGATGAGAGGGGTATCAGGATTGAGAGAAGTTGAAGTCGAAGGGAGTTTATTTATGACGAGATGTGGGATTTTGTTCTTACCTTTGCCGAGTTTGGCAGGTCTGAGGCTTTTATCTTTAATATAACAGACGGCCTCATCGTGACCTATGTGATAGCAGTGGTGGCAATACTTAGGCATTTTCTCATATTCTACTTGGAGAACCACTTGTGTTTCTCCAATTTTAACCCTGATTTTTGGTGGCGGAGGAGACTCGAGGTTGATCCCAACGCAAATGCGAGCGAAATTGAGTCTAGATTTGGAGAGGGTGGCGTCGTCAGCTTTTAGGAACTCTCCGAAGAGGGCGCCGATGGTTTGGAGAGAACGGATGTCGAAAAGATGAATGGGCAGAGTAGAGATTTTTAGCCAGATTGGGACGATAGTAGGTTCAATTTTAAAATCAAAGTTTGGGCTCCATTTGAAAAGTCTCATTGGGCAAGCTTGGATGGTGATTTCCCGTTTTATCCATAGTTTGGAGAACATTTTCGCATTGTCAAAACAAAGAAGGACGTGGCGGGCATTAAGATATACAACTTGGCAAGGAAGGCCAATGTTAGCGAGATAGGAGCGGATGATGGCATTAGTGGGTCGGCCAAAGGAGAATTTGCCGACAAGGGAGAAACGGAGTTCGTCGGCCAAAGTGTTGCTCTCGGGGAGGGAAAAAACGGCTGTTGGGATGTCTTCGCCCGACTCGATTTTCCCGAACTTGGGAGCATTAGAAGACGATTTAGGACCCCCCGCAATAGCTTCACGGTAGGAGTTTGGTCGTGCGGGGATTTCGCCGAGAGGTGTGATTGAGGGCCCGGGTGGCTTGGATTGATGAACCGGTTTAGGAAATAAAGGAGGTTGAATAGAAATTCGGTTAATCTTAGAGGGGAGCGAGATAGAACGACCCAATTTAATTGGACTGGGAGTGATGTTGGGCTGGGTCGGTATAGACAGATGGACTGGCTGATCGGTTTTAATATGTTGGGCGGACTGATTTGTTCGTCCCAAATAAGCTAAGTTGGAATTGAGGCCCACATTAAAAGAAGAGAATTTCTTACCTGCTGGGCCGGGTCCAAGAATGGATTGCGACATTCCCTTGTTGACCGGCTCTGAAGCTTTTGAGACTCCATCGATGGCGGACCTGGAAGATTCGGCAGTGACGGTGAAGAAGCTAAGCGCGATATTTTGGGGAGAAAAATATCTCCATTTTCTGTATATTCAAATCTTAGAAATGTTCGTACAAAATGAGAAATTTATACAGGACCCATGTAGACGTCACTAAGCCAAAGACAACGTCGTTCGAATAAAAGAAAAACGCAACAGCCGAAAAACGACTAACTCCTAAGAAAACAAAAGAAATAAAAATATCCATGCTAAGAAACTTCAAACTCCAATAGCCTCCCTCAAGTTGAGCATCGGGTTGGAAAACCCATGCCCAACTTGCAAACTAGATGTCGAAAATGCGAGCCAGTAAGTCCTTTAGTGAATATATCTGCAAGCTGCATTTTGGAACCAACAAAACGAGGGATTACAAAGCCTGCCTTGAGTTTATCTCGAACAAAATGGCAATCAATTTTCAAGTGTTTAGTTCTTTCATGAAATACAGGATTAGCACTTATGTGTATAGCTGCACGATTGTCACACCATAAAGGAATGGGATAGGCCAAAGAAAAACACAGATCCCTAGCCACATAGGATAACCGAAGTAACTCAGAAACAGTGGTCGATATTCAGCCTCTGCCGAGGACCGAGACACTGTATGTTGCTTTTTAGTTTTCCAAGAAACAAGGCAGTTACCAAGAAATATGCAATATCCTGTCACAGATCTTCTAGTATCACCACATGAAGCCCAATCAGCATCACTGAAAGCTGTGAGTTCATCAGAGTCACCTTTAACAAATCTAATGCCAAAAGAGGAAGTCCCTTTGAGATATCTAAGAACATGTAATGCTGCATCCCAGTGTGAACTATGAGGGGCATTAACAAATTGACTCAACTGCTGAACTGCAAAAGTAACATCTGGTCTAGTCATATTCAAGTAGAGAAGTCGGCCAATAAGTCTTCTATATTTATCTGGTTCTGGAAGTGGAGTGCCATCTTCAACTCCCAGTTTTAAACCATGAGGAAAAGGAGTCACAGCTTGTTTGCAGCTAAGCATTCCCATGTCACCCAGGAAATCTAAGATATATTTCTTTTGACATAAAAACATACCATATTCAGTTTTACAAAGTTCAACCCCAAGAAAAATATTTGTTGCACCCAGATCCTTAATGGTAAAAGCCTCATCAAGAAAACTTTTAAAATCCCGTATCAATTGTGGACTGGACCCTGTAAGTAAAAGGTCATCTACATAGACCAAAGCAGCTAAGAAATCTTGTCCTCTCTGCATAGTAAATAAGCAATGATCATAGCTGGACTGCAACATACCAAAAGAAGCAAGCTTATGACAAAGTTCAATGTTCCATTCCCTAGATGCTTGCTTAAGCCCATAGAGACTCCTCACAAGTCTACATACCTGCCCTTCCTTTGCCATGGCATATCCCAAAGGTGGTTTCATATATACCTCCTCAGCCAAATGTCCATGCAAGAAAGCATTGTTGACATCCAACTGATGTAGTTCCTAATCCCTTTGTATAACCATGGTGATGAATAGTCTTACTGTTACTAGCTTGCCACAGGGGAAAATATATCAAAGTAATCCACACCCTCTATTTGGTTGTACCCCTTAGTTACAAGCCGGGCCTTAAATCTCTCTATGGATCCATCTGCTTTTCTCTTTATTTTATAAATCCATTTAGAGCCTATGGCTTTCTTTCCCTCTGGTAGTGTGGTTAACTTCCAAGTATGGTTGTGATCTAGGGCATTCAGCTCTTGTTGCATAGCCTCCAGCCATGCAGGGTGTTTGCTTGCCTGAGAATAGTGAGTTGGTTCCTTTTCCATGTACACTTGAGTCATAAAAGCTACATAATCAGGGCATGATGTTGGAAGAATCTGTGAAGTGCTTTCACAGACATAATCCTCCTGCCACCTTGGTTTATGTCTAACCCTTGTGCTCCTCCTCAATTCTGCATCTTCATGTTCTGAAGGTTGTACTGTGACAGGCTCATCATCATCAAAATGAGCTAAAGACTCATCTTCATGTGGTGGAATAGGGAGACTGTATTTGATAGTTGCTGCTGGTTTAGAAAAAGGGAATTCTTCCTCCAAGAAAATAACATCTCTAGCCACCAAGAGGGTTTCAGTTTCGAAATTAAAGAGTTGATACCCTTTCTTGCCTGCCACATAGCCCAAAAACACACACTGTGAACCTCTTGCCTCAAATTTAGATTTATGAGGAACTACATTAGTAGCATATGCTAAGCATCCAAAGGGTTTTAATCTCTTATAATCTGGTAATTTTCCATTTAGCCTCTCAAAAGGAGTTTCCCAATTCAAGACAGCACTAGGGATTTTATTAATGATATATGCAGCTGTTAACACTGAGAATGGCCAAAATTTCCTAGGCAGGGTTGCTTGAAACATTAAGGCTCTTCCCATTTCTAATAGATGCCTATGTTTCCTTTCAACCACTCCATTTTGTTGAGAGGTATACACACATGTTGTTTCATGTAAAATTCCCTTATCTCTGAAAAATTCAACCAAGGATTTCTCAAAGAACTCACTGCCATTATCTGATCTTATCCTTTTAACCTTGCAGCTGTATTGTGTGTTAACCATTTTGATGAAGTCTGTCACTAGTTTGCTGGCCTAAGATTTATTTTGCATGAGGAAAACCCATGTCCCTCTACTGTAATCATCTACTAAGGTAAGAAAGTAAGGCGTGCTCACAATTGCTTCCTCTCTATAAGGCCCCCATACATCCATGTGTACTAACTCAAAACTTGAATTAGTTTGAACACTGCTGGAAGGAAAGGAAAATCTATGCTGTTTTGCCTTAAAGCACACATCACAGGAATGCAACATATTTTCATTTAAAGGAGTGCAATCTTTCTTCAAGAAACTCAGATGTTTCAAAGCACCAAAGGATGCATGACCTAAGCTTTTATGCCATGTTTGAAAGGATAAATTACAACCAAAAGGTGCTGGAAATTTACCCTTCCATATGTAGAGGTGTCCAATTTGATCCCCATGGCCAAGAATTGCTTTAGTCTAGTTGTCCTACAGGTAACAACATGTCCCAGTGAACACCCACTTCATGCTGCTGTTTTGACACATTTGTACCACTGAAAGGAGGTTGTACTTAAAGCTGGGAACATAGAGTACATTGTGAAGTGCAATATCCTTAGTAATCATGACACGGCCTTCTATTGTGACATTTTTAAGAGATCCATCAGGCAGACATATAGAAATTGGTTTGTCTGTGAGAATGAGATTCTTCATTAGTTCTATGTTAACACAAATGTGTCTACTTGCCGCTGTGTCAATAATCCACTTTCCCTCACATCCATTTCCCAAAACAGTAAGAGCAAAATGTTCAGTCTCATCTTTGTTCTTACCTGCAAAACTCACAAATTGAGCATAGTCCACCTTGCTTTCTGATTCTTCTTTTCTCTTCACATACTGAGTTAGCTCATTCAATTGCTTGATGATTGCAGACAGGTCATTTTCTTTGGATTCATCTTTGTTGTTCCCTTTCAACTTTTGTTGCTCTTCTCCATACCAGACTTCTGCATTATTTGCATAGGATTTTCCTTTATTTTCCTTGTACTCTTCATACCAATCTGGTATCCCATGCACTTTGAAGCAGGTGGACACGTTGTGCCCATTCATTCCACATTTATCACATAGTAATCTTGCCTTTTCTTCCTTTGTCATTCTCACATATCCCCTTTTTTTCCCCCATTCCATTGTCCTCCTGAGTTAAATGATGTTCCTCCATTATTTCCTTTGTTTTGAGACCCTTGACCTCTTCCAAAACTACCAGATCTTGCCATCATAGCAGCATTGTCTATTTTTTCTCCATAGATGCCTTGTACACTTCTCTGCCTTTCAGCTGTCAAAGCCATTTATTCACACTTGGTAAAGGCTCAAGCAGCATTATCTGGTTCTTCAATCCATCATAGCCATCATTTAGCCCCATTAGAAACTGTATAAGCTTAGTTTCTGATTCATGTTGAGCTGCTAGCTTACCCTTCTCACAACCACAGGATTGTACAGGCACTACACATGAATATTCATCCCACAACCTTTTCAATTTATTAAAATACTCCATGACCGAGCTGTGTCCTTGATTTAGGCTAGATATCTCCCTCTGCAGTTTGTACTTCCTAGGGCCATTATTTTCTCCATAACGCTCACAAATATCCTCCCACAGTTCCTTAGAACTCTCAGCATACAAAAATGATTCAGCTATATCTTTTGAAAGTGAGCTTAAAATCCAAGACAATACCATCCAATCGACCTTTTTCCAGGCTTTGTAACACTCATCAGTAATATTTGGCATTGCAATTTCTCCATTGATGAAGTCGAGCTTTGTTTTAGCACCGAGAGCTATAATAATCAAACGTTTCCACGAGGGGAAATTGTTACCTATCAGTTGGTGTGATACTAAAGACATGCCTGGATTATCCGAGCTTTGTAATAGCAGTGGATCTGAATCACTCGATTTTGTCCCTGTTTCCACGTTAGAAGTTTACAGCGGCCATGGATTGGTTCTTCGAGCTTCCATCTTTGATGTTGAGCTTACAGGCTTGCACGATCTAGTTTCGGATCATCGATTTTTAACGAAAACTCCAGAATCGTTGCTCTGATACCATGAAGAAGCTAAACGCGATATTTTGGGGAGAAAAATATCTCCATTTTCTGTATATTCAAATCTTAGAAATGTTCGTACAAAATGAGCAATTTATAAAGGACCCATGTAGACGTCACTAAGCCAAAGACGACGTCGTTCGAATAAAAGAAAAACGCAACAGCCGAAAAATGACTAACTCCTAAGAAAACAAAAGAAATAAAAATATCCATGCTAAGAAACTTCAAACTCCAATAGACGGCAAGGTCGGAGTTCCGAGCAGTGACGGCGAGGTCGGTGGTCAGGGCAATTTCGGCTAAACAATCGGTCGGAGTGGAGACGCCCTCAGCTAATTTCGATCCATTCTGCAATATTCTCGAGCCGGTGGTTGACGTCATTTTCGGCGACGACGTCGCCTTCTGAGCTGTGTTCCGGTTACTATATGCTATGTTCGAACTGGAGGGGCGATTATTCAGAGAAATTTGTACTGAGCTCGCGATTTGTTTATGTTTGGAATTTTTTATGTTTTCTTGATTTTTGGTCGGAGCAAAATCCGATTTTTTCTGCAGAGTTTCCTTGATAGCTTCGGTCTGATTTCTAACAGTCGTGTTCGAATTAGATGGAATATTATTATGAGAAATTTGTTCCGAGTTCAATGCTTTTTTCTGTTTGTGAATGTCGGCTTGCTTTTGATTTTTGGTTTGAATTTTGGGAAGAATTAAATTGGAGAAATTCGCTAGCTGGAAGGACCGATTGTGAGGAGGTAAGTTCTCAAATTCTTGTTGTTTGGTTGGTGAAGAAGGGCATGAAAATGGTTTCTGAGGAGGAGGGGGAATGAATTTTGGGGATGACGGGCAGGATTCTACCTCCGCCATGGTTGTTTGGCCGCCGCCCGGCAGCTGCCAGCGGTTGTCCTAAGGAGTCGCCGGCGTTGGGAGGTAGCAGGGGGTGGAAAAAGTCGTTGATTGAGGCGGAGAGGTAGCCGTTGGTGGTGGTGAAAGAGTCGTTGGGAGGAGAAGAGAGCCGTTGGTGAGTGCCGTGAAAGTAGAGAGAGAAACTTGTAGAGAGAAGGAGGAGAAAATTGTGTTGGTGAATTTGTAAGTTCGTCCCTTCGGGGACATCTTATAAAAAAAAGAATTTGTAAGTTCAAATANCCAATACAATACTTTTGTTTTTTCCAATACAATACTTACTGCTAAAGAGGTTAAGTTCAAAGGTAGGAACTGTAAAGACGATATACATATTGAATTCAAGTCATTCGTGGACTGTAATCGATTAATCCTTATTTAATAAAGCGAAAGGGAATCAAAGTTCTTACCTCGACTATGCTTTACCGGGACTAGCCTTTAACTTTCACTTTTGGATTATAACCTTAAATTGAGTTCTGCTACTGGAGCTAGTCAAGTTGGCAATTGAGTTTAATTAAAGAGCTCACGCGGATTTTGGGTAGCTTTTTTTTTCTAAACGACAAATATATTAATAACTTAAAAACTCAAAAAGAGTACATATCGAAATGCGAACCGACACTACTGGAACTAGAAAAATTGGACCAATTCCCTTGGATTCACACCCGTGGTCAAGGGGTACAAACTCCATTAAGGAGACCTAACCGCAAAAACAAAACTCCATAAGGGAGACACCAACTCCAAAGCGGAGACTAACAACCAGACGCCACTGGACTAAATGAAAAAAAACAACATAAAAAGATAAATAACATGTAACGCCCCATTTTGATTTTAAAGAAATTCTGAACTTTCAGAAAAATCAGATTAAATTTTTTCAAAATTTATTTCAAACATACTTTTGGCGTTACTCATTTTTAACATCAAACATTAACATAATTTTCAACTCCTAAAACGGGTTTCCAAAAAGTTCATCAATCACCCAAACCGGGTTCCAATAGTAATCATAGTATCTAAGGAGCATCTCCTTAACATTATTTCAATCATAGTATCCGAAAATCATAAATTCATAAATATCCCAAGTTCATAAATCATAGAATCAGTTCATAACGCGGAAGCATAACAAATAATAAATCCGGTCTCATAGACTGACCACCAGTCGCTCTACTCCGCCGTCGTACCCGCATTGCTTAACCTGAAAGGTTAATTTCAGGTGAGAGTGAGCACAATTGGAATTCATAGTGCTGACCACTATGCAGTAAACATTTATCAATATATAAAAACAGTAATCATAAAGAAGTTAGGTATGGTCGCAGCATGTATACAAATCAATTAATTATCCCATCTCTTATCCCAGAGTCAACCCTCATGTGCACACCTACGCATAGACTACTGCTGATACTCGATTTGAATGCCAAAACCTACGCCTTGGTCTAACAACGATGCCCAGCCAGTAGGAGTAATCCACCCCGCCGGCCAAGACCTACGAATTGGTCATACAAACGGGGATCACCAGCCGAGGGCCCATGCCCCGGTCTTACGGCCATACATAAATAAAGGAGACTTCCTATCGGGTACGTTCTATAGCTACGGGAATAACCGTTCGATGACCGGTACAGCTCACATCGAAGCTACATGGTTCACATGCATACATTGATCATACCACAAATTATGCATTAATAACATTTACAGCATAGCAAATTTTAGAATAACAACCCACCTGGTAACAACAAGAGATAAAGCACAACAATTGATTAGAAGGCGATTTCGACTCGTCAAACACCTACATTTATTAAAATAATCCTATGAATAACTATTCCACACACGGGTTCACTCATTTCAACATTCATGTGATCAGACTCGATTCATATAGTTCATTTAAGCAAGCAATGAAAGAAAAATTTGATTTTTTGAAAACAACAAATAAATTTCCAAAACATAACCCGCAGCGATTTTGAAATCGACACATTTACAGCACATAATTCATATTGACACAAATCCAGTAGCATATGAATCCTAAGACATGCCTCTACAATTCTCATGAATAAATCAGAAGCAAATAATGGCATTTTGAAGGTCTTAAATCACCAAACATATGAAACAGGGTTGCTGTGAAAATCTGGAAATATATAGTAGACAGGACCTCAGTATATTAAATATAAATGGGGCTACCGACATGCTATTGAGGAAATTAAAAAATCAAAACGTAGCTAACTCAAATATAAACAACTTTACAGAAGACCACATTGGCAAATAAGGGCTTATCAACAGTTTTAAACACAAAACATTTAGGTCATAAAATCTGTCAGAATTTGATTCGGCTTACAAGCAACACTTCAGTATTTATAGTCTAAATCATGCCATAGACCTCCAATTTACCAGATTTAAAAACCTATGGACAACCAAGATACATAGCAACAATTGTCATGAGGACCACTTTCACATTTGAGAATGTTAGAACATCAATTATAGACCAAACTTCGATATCATATACACAGCCGATTTTTCAGAAACCTACAAGACAGTTCTACAACTTTCATTTAGAATACTAAAGCAGATAAGGTCATTATAGAGGGACAAAATCAATTAACATTTAGAACTACCTTGCTTTCGAAAAGTATAACTCACTACATGCATATCCTACTTCAATCTAACACAATCTTAGCTACAGTCATCATACCAGCACGAACTGTACCTCATCAGAAAGCTTAGAAAAAGACCAATAACTTTCATGAAGATCACATTTTCATTTGAGCACATTAAGATGCAACAAACAAACAAAACATTCAACACACACATGCTGCCGAGATTTGTTAAAAACTGCTTGCGCGACAATTTTGTAAAAATCACAACTCTCTCATTTCAAGTCAAATTTTCGAATTTCCAAAATTCACAGAACCACAAACGAATGAAATTCAAATCATATGAAGAACATAATTTCAAAAAATGAGTTTTTCATGCCTTTTCAGGGCTCGACAGAGGCTGTAATAACACGTTAAATCATGAAATCTTAATGAACCTTCACCTCATTAATTTCTATAACAAAGCAACTCATTACATCAAACCAACACCAAAATATCTCATATCAAGACACATAAAAAAGGTTAGGTTCATACTTAGCATGCTTTATCAAGACTTCATTCAAATTCAACATAGATCACCATATAGGCTCGTGAATTCACTCGGACCCCAACATATATATATACTAAACATAAGATAATCATCAAAGCATCAACATCTAAATTAATAACACCAATTAACACATTAACATAAAGGGTTTTGAGCCTCGGTGTACCGTTCTCACGAAAGGATCACGAGACGGTAGAAGGAGGGTCGAAGCGGGGCTGTCGGTGCACACGACGGGGCTCGGCGGAGCTTGCGACGGCGCTCGGCAGCGGGGCGTGACTCGCGGGTTCGCGTGAGAAGCCGAACGTGGTTGCTGCGACGGGGCTCCAGGAGCGATCAACAAGGCGGACGGCCGCTGGTTTGCTGGTCATGACGACCTGAGACGGCGGAAGGGATCGCCGGGTTGCTGGGGTCACGGGAAGGTGGTCGTCGGAAGCCAGGATGTAACGCCCCGATCAGTTAATAAAATAATACCAATTCACTTGCTCGACTTTAAAGTGAATTCAATAATGTTCGAACCCTAGAGTTGTTCGATTCAGTATTTCCAAGAGTTATTACGTGAATTATGTGTTTATGTGTGATATTATGAGTTTAATTGCTTTATTTATATTTATAAATGTTAGTATGTGCAAATTATATCGTTCGTCCGCACCGAACCGAGCCTTTGGTATTGAACCCTAGACTTATAGTGCCTCGGCACTAGTACTTAGAACCCTAGAAGGTTTAGTGCTCGGCCCTAGTAGTGGCCTCGAGCTAACATAGTGCCGAGAGCATGCAAGACCTAGCACGCGCTCGAGTTCGCGCCAATCTAGTTCGAGCCATTTTAATTGTAGTGTCGAGCCTTGAGTTTATTTTTAACCATCTCATGGACTTATTCTTGATAAGTCAAGGCCTATACTAATACTTAAGGGCTTCATTATGAATTCTCTATGCCATATTTAGCCTAAGTAAGGTTAATGAAGTCAAAGCTCCATTAGCATATTTTGTATGCCTAATCAAGCATCATGGGCATGCAATATTTTAATGGATGTGTAAGGGATTGTCTCCACCTCTTCCTCTAGTGGAAAAAACAGAGTTTCAGCTCCTTTTCCAGTACATTACCTCGTCCATGTGCTCAGCCTTATGCAACAAGTGCACCTTGTGCCTAGGGAAAGAGTTGCACAAATTTTCTTATCACCATGTCTTCCATTAACTCTTCTTGATTGCATCGCCAATGACCCTGTATAAGCCCTATTATCAGCTCCATGCAATCCTCATTTGAACCCCAGAATTTTCTTAACATTTTGGAGGGATAACACCCAAACACTTAGAGCAAAACCACAAAACCGAGAGCTTACTAGCCATGCTAAGAATGAAGTGGTTTAATCCCG